TAGGTTTGGAGGTTTTCTAGCTACAGATGTCCATTTGATGACAAATCAAAATTCTGTTTTCAAATTCAGGCTGGAATCGTATCCGATATGTGATGACAAGGTTCATAATGCCCTTGGTGAAGCCAGAAAGGAACTCTTCGGCTTGCAGTAGCACTTATCTCGTGTGCGGCTAGAGAGAGCTACTTGATATGCTTACGTTCATAATTCACTTTTTACTATGGTGGAATGGAGCAACTTGGATATGCTTACGCTCATAATTCAACTGCTTTGAAGCTATTGCTTCTTGGGGTCTGCCAAAGTTGGGGAGAGGGTCAGTAGGATGTGCGCTATGTCAGGACGGGCGGGAATAATACTGCCATTAGAACATGGTTAGGGGAAGACTATCCCTGACCAAGCTTCTCTAGGTACTTTGTAGAATTTAGTTTTGTCATCCATAACCTACTTCTTATTATTTCCTAAATCTTTTCACATGGATTGAGTGAACTTATGTATCTTTTTAAGCACGGTAACTTCACATCTTAACTCTATTTGCACTTGCAATTGTGTATTTTATACTTCGTATTCTGCATGGGTAATGTTTGATAAAATGCTTAGGTGATCCTTCTTTGTTTTTATAATCTAAGATTGACTATGTACATCTTGAATATCTTATATATCTAGATGATTTGATGTGATTTTACTTTGTTTAACAACTAACCACTCCAAGAACTACACAACAGATTTAAAATAGAGAACATACACAACAACACTCTTTATATTGTTGGAGACAAGAATGAATAGTTTTACAAATTACACCATCACTTTTGTTGTTTAACATCGTTTAAAGAAGTATTCTAAGACAGAACCCATGCGGCATGGAAAAGTGATAATATCACAAACGAAAGCTATATGCCAAGATACTAAAAAAGTGTTTTTTTGTATATTCCTATATCTATTTTCTCCGTCACCCGAGTCTTAAGATTCTGAAGTCCTAGACTAACTATCACATTGAACTTCCAACTTCATTAGGACTGCAATTGTATTATCTATTAACAAGCAAACTGAGTTAGATTTTCAGTTTGAATCACTGTTATAGTTAGCTGCTGACCATTACTTTTAATTGGTCCAACATAAGGTGTATTAGCTTAAGTATTGCTTTGGTTTTACCTGGGTTTGACAAATTCTTTTGTACTAATAGCTTGGAACTAAATAAATGTATTAACTATTTGACCTTACTTATGTGTAGTTAACTTTGCAGCTTGAATTGTACTCAAAGGAATGCTGTGAGATTGTCCAGGTAAAGTTTTAACTATTTGACCCTAAAAATAATAATGCTTCTTGAATGAAAATGTGGATTTTCTGGCAAGTGACAAAGATGCACTTTTGTATTTTAACAGCTCCATTTTTAATCTACTGTCTTAAGGGGAAAAGGGACTCGGGAAGTCTAAAAAATTCATTAGCCCAGCAGCCAGAAGTTTGCTAAACTTAATGACATTGGTCTTAACTTGATTTTTATGCATAGACAAATCTTAAACTAAGATTCCCAAAATCTGAATGGTTGAAATATGTTAAATTTCAATGAAGAAATATAAGTCAAAAATATTTCATCCATTTTTTAATTAATTGACCCTAAAACTAATAATGCTCAAACTGAAGTGCGATATCAGAAACATAAACATACCTATTTAAGAATGTATGTTTAGTGGATATATTGACCCCACTCCATTTGAATCAAAAGTTCCTTTTATTCCTTTCTATTATGATATTATCAAGCCTTTTAAATTCTAATTATCTTTTAATATCAAGCATATTTTCTCTCTCATATGTATATCATGAGGGTCTGATGTCTTAATTATAACTTGAACATGAATGCTTAGTAGAATGTGTTTTTTTCAACAGAGGTGTGTGTTAATAAATTTTCTATTTCTACACATTTTCGAATGAACTTATGGTACCTTGTGCGTTGGTTATATACATTAGGATTTCTCCCTTTACTACTCACTAAAATACGCCTTCGGCCGGACTTTTGCTCCTTTTTCTCCAATGGAGAAATTGAAGAGACTCGCAGTAAAGAATCCAAATAACGCACAAAGCAATTGCACCTTCTGCACTGTTGCCTTCCAAATGCTATACCGAAATTACTTACCTTCATATTTCATGGCAATAGTGCAATACTAATCTCAGTCATATCTCTAAAAGGCTCCAAAAACTAATTAGCATTGTAATTTTTATGTTTCTTTAGATTAGTTGGAACTGTTTACGTTATATCATATTTCCTCTATTTTACTTTTTCCATTTTGTAATCAAATCCTACTTGATTGTTTATTTTTTTGATTATAAATTGAGGGTATAGACAAAAACTTACTACTTAATTGACTTCACTTTATCCCATCTTCTTGGTATGATATTGTTACAATTCCTTTTGATTGAATGGGCACACTTCTGTTTAGTATTGTTGGGGTATATTACCCCGACCTACAACTGTTCAGAGGCCCAAGACCTTACCCTGATTTGGAGCTTAGTTGGCAAGGTCCATTTAGACCCTTCGGGCCCATTGAGAGTCATTTCGGCCCACTCGGCCTGCCCGGCCCATCTTGGCCCGTTAAGGGTTTTATCAGCCCATTAGGCTAGAAAGGTTGCCCCCCTTTTTTCTCTTCTATAAATAGGAAGCAAGGCTTCCATGTAAAAGACTCATGTCCTCCCTGCTACTCCTTCTTCTTAGATTAGATGAGCTCATAAACTCCATTATTAATGGAGGTTCCGACAATATGTGTTATGTAAATGGTGAGGAGGGTATAATGAGAAAGAGCGGGCTTGGACGTTAGCCTAAAAAGTCTCGTGATTTTCTCCCTTTCGGGTTTTCACGTAAAAATCGAGTGTTATACCAAATTATATCTATATCTATTAGTTTATGTTGGACTTAAACTTAACATTGGCGCCGTCTGTGTGAATCTTGTTCAAAACGATTCATGTACTTTATACAAAATTCATACGAATAATGTCTGATTTCAACAGCGACAAAAAAAAAATTGATACAAGAGGAACTGATTTCAGCATGGGAAGGAAGAAGAAAAAAATTAGAAACTTCTGTCTGAAGGCCCCAAATATCCGAAAAGATTCTAAGTGTTTGGCTAACTTACAACTCAAAGGAATGGAGGAGAATATATTATATTCCACTTGATAAAACATTACAATTGGTGGCCTTGTATAGGCATTACAAGTGGAGTAAAATAATCCCTAGGAAATACAATTTAACTTTCCAAGAAGACCTTTCATCTTTCCAATAAAAGTAGGGAAAGATAATTTATGTTCCCTAGGAAGTAAACTAATTAAGATTAATTAATTAATCCCAACAAATTCCTCCCCTAATCTTAATTCTCTTCGGTCTCTCATTCCGAGCCTTTTGCTTGTAACCTTTTGCAACAAGCCGAGCTTTGTATCGCTCGACCATACCTTCAGCATTGCATTTCTTCTTATACACCCATTTGACTCCGATCGGCTTATGACCTCTCGGGAGATTGGTAAGTTCCCAGGTCTGATTCTTCTCAATCACTTTTATTTCTTCGTTCATGGCATCTCTCCATTTTTCATCGTGCTTGACTTCTTCAAAAGTAATATCCTCCCCATCGGCTAGAAGACATACCATGTGAACCTCTGGAGCTGCATCATATATGTCCTGTATGTTTCTGTACCTTTGCCGGCTCGTCCCTTCTTCTTCTTCCTCGTCCCCCGAGGTCGTCATAGATCCCACCCCGATTGGTTCTGGTGTCATCCCGAGCGGGATTGGAATTGGGGTCCCGCCCGGGGTCTCTTCGTCATTTGAGGTCCCGTCCGGGACGTCCTCGTTATTTGAGGTCCCGTCCGGGACGTACTCCTTCTCTGTGTTCCAATCCCAGCTTCCTTTTTCATTTATCTCTACATCTTTGCTCACTGTGATCTTTTTCTCCTCGGGATCATATAGTCTGTATCCCTTTGTTTTCTCATCATAGCCAATGAAGACAAGCTTCTTGCTTTTGTCTTCCAATTTTGTCCGTCTCTGATCGGGCACATGTGCGTAAGAGATACTCCCAAACACTCTCAAGTGTGACAGGTCGGCTTTTGACCACTCCATGCTTCTTGAGGTGTTAGATTTTCAAGATTTGAGTGCGGACACCTGTTCTGTACATACACCGCACATCGTACCGCCTCGGCCCAAAATTGCTTTGGCATATTTTTGCTCTTGAGCATGGATCTTACAATGTCCATAATGCTCCGGTTTTTTCGCTCGGCCACCCCGTTCTGTTGAGGCGAGTACGGGGCGGTAAAGAATCTTCTAATTCCTTCCTCTTCACAAAACTTTGTAAAAGAGTCTGAAATGTATTCTCCCCCCCGGTCTGACCTCAACGCTTTCACCTTCAGCCCGATTGTCTTCTCCACCTCGGCTTTGAAATTTTTGAATGTTTTAAAGGCCTCCGATTTTTCTTTTAGAAAATATACCCAAGTCTTCCTGGTGTAGTCATCAATAAAGGTGATAAAGTACCTTCGCCCACTGAAAGATGATGGCGTGATCGGCCCACAAATGTCCGTATGGACTGTCTCCAATGCTCCCTTGGCTCGGTACTTGGCAGTCTTCTGAAAGCTCGTCCGGGTGTGTTTCCCAAGTACGCAGCTTTCACAGAATTGCTTTGGAAAATCCATCTCGGGTAGTCCATGCACCAAGCCCTTTTTGCTCAGCTCGGCTAATCCTCCAAAGTTCAAATGTCCGAAACGTAGGTGCCATAATAGTGACTTGTCCGTCAGGTCGACTTTCAAGCACTTATGGTTTACGCTTCTCAAGTCCAACTTGTACATTCTGTTCTTGGCCATCTCTACCCGGGCGACGGCCCGACCTCGTCTATCCTTCAAGTGTAGGTATCGACCACATAGGTCGGCTGAATACCCTTTCTCCATAAGCTGTCCCATGCTTATGATATTTGTCTTCATGCTCGGGACATAGAGTACGTTTTCAATCGTCCCCTCTTGTCCATTCTTTTGCAGAAATTTAACCTTTCCTCGGCCTTTGATAACTACTTTTGATGTATCTCCAAAAGATACATTTCCTCCCTCAGCCTCCTTCAACTCAGTGAATAAATGTTTATAACCACTCATGTGGTTGCTCGCCCCGGTATCCAAGTACCACGTAGCGTCGTCTGTTAAGCTTCCTTCTTTGTGTGCTAGTAAGAGCACTCCTTCCTCATCTCCATCATCATCCTCATGCTCAGCAACATTTAGATTCTCCTCCGGTTTTGGTTTCGACCAACAGTCTCTTGCGAAATGTCCCCGTTTCCCGCAATTGTAGCATTCCCCATCGGGTCTGCCTCCCCGACCGCCTCGGGCAGCTCCTCTGCCTCGGCCTCTCCAGGTCGGGCGATGTTGGTCCTCCCGGTTCTGGTGGGTATTCTCCTCTCGGTTGTAGTCTCCTCTTCCTTGGCCCCGACCACGGAAGTGACCTCGGCATCGGCCTCTCGGTTGATGGGCATACATTGCCTTCTCCTCTACCACCATAGTTTGTAATGCCTCTTCAAGCGATTCTAGCCGCTTCATCTTTCTTTGTTCATGTGCCTCCAACGACCCCGACAGGTCGTCAATGGTAAGCGTCTCAATATTTCTAGCTTCTTCGATTGCGCATACCACGTTTTCGAATTTGTCCGTAAGTGTTCGTAGAATTTTTTCTACTATCCGACTCTCACTTAAGGTTTCACCATTTCTCTTTATATGGTTTGCTATGGTCATCACCCGATTAATGTACTCGGTGACCTTCTCGTTCTCTTTCATCCGCATAGTCTCCAACTCTCCTCGTAGAGTTTGCAACCTCACTTGCTTTACTCTTTCCCCTCCTTTGAATACTCTTTCGATGATGTCCCAAGCTTCTTTTGAAGTTTCGGCATCGGCTATCTTCTCGTGGATGGTGTCATCCACTGCTTGAAGCAACCAAAACAGTGCCGTTTGGTCCTTCTTTTGTGCTCCTTCGAGTTCCACTTGTTGGGCAACCGTCAAGACGGTTCCTTCCTCCGGTGTTGTGTAGCCATTATCGACAACATCCCATACTCCTTGTGACTTCAACAGTGCTCTCATTTGAGCATTCCATCGATCGAAGTTTGCTTTCTTCAATTGAGGTAGTTGGCCGAACATGATGGCTGCCATCTTCTTCTTCAACAGTGGCTCTGATACCAATTTGAAGGCCCCAAATATCCGAAAATATTCTAAGTGTTTGACTAACTTACAACTCAAAGGAATGGAGGAGAATATATTATATTCCACTTGATAAAACATTACAATTGGTGGCCTTATATAGGCATTACAAGTGGAGTAAAATAATCCCTAGGATATACAATTTACCTTTCCAAGAAGACCTTTCATCTTTCCAATAAAAGTAGGGAAAGATAATTTATGTTCCCTAGGAAGTAAACTAATTAAGATTAATTAATTAATCCCAACACTGTCTAGCTCCAAATCTTAGACAGGAAGGTCGCCGCCATATTCAGTATTATGAGAATCGCACACGAAATCAACTAGTTCAGCAAGCGTGGAGAATAGGGCAGGAGAACTCTGCTTGACCAGCTCAGGGCTCGTCGCCGGCAGGGGTACGTGGACGTATCCTTTCCCGGAGCTAGAAGTCGCACGCGAAATCTCAGGGATGTTGAGATACGTGAAGATAAGTCATGGAGGTGGGGCCAAGGCCCAACTTGAGTGGTAATTAGCTGTGGGGTCCACTCCTTGATTGTGACTATTTGCATTTGGAAGGAGTCCACCGGCTCTCAAAGAAGTGGTGCATGTATGACCCGAACGGCACTTGCCGAACGGTGATTCTGACAGAAGGAATTTTTGCACATCTGGAGAGGGTTCCAACCCGCCCAAAATCAACAAACAAGCAGGTGCCACTAATGAATGTCGTTCTGAACAACCAATTGCTCTAATATTTTGAACGCACTCTCCGATTACCGACGGGGAGAGCCGGTCGGCCAATTCTATGCATGCAACCCATGCAGCAGCACCGACAGTACGTCAGGCGCTCCTCATAGCCCCCTCAGCATGAACGGCAGATCAACGACCATCTGGTTCAGTCCGCCTCTGGCTGTTACCACTGATCAGTATTTTTGAGGGTAAATCCCGTAGATCCGAAAGCTCAACACGAACTTTGGATATATCAGGAATGACACAAAATCAAAGCGTGTAAAAAATATAAGATCTGAACTAACTAACACTCGAAAGCTCACTTGTATTAATTAACCAGTCTGATTACAAGGAATTTCCCGATCGGTAAGTCGGAAACTATGCTTTAATACAAGAAATAAGAGCAATGATGCTATTCTAGAGCCTGAGTATTGAAATGCTAACCCTTACAATGACTTGAAACCTTCTATTTATACTAATGGAGAGCATGGGCTGCCCCATGCTGATTGGCCGTTGTTCCACCGACTTGGTCATTCATGCTTCCATTTGCTGATGTCATAGTCTGACATTAATTGCACCTGGCCACTTGCTGGTTGGCCGTTGCTCGAACGGGATGTTGGGCTGTACTGAAGATGCTGTCAAATTGACCCAAGTACGATATATAGCCCGAACCCCGTTCGGTATGTCTTCTTATTGGGCCAACCTTTATTTGGGCCGAACTCCGTTCGGTATGTCTTCTTACTGGATCTATTCATCATAGGGTGATGGGCCCGTTGTTTGGGCCGGATATCTTGGGCCTTCTCGATCTGGGTATTGGGCCTCTAGGTCAATATCCCAACACAAGTCCCCCACTTCCGATGTCTCGAACGATAGTGAGTGCATTAGGAAGTATATCAATGTTATAATACCCCGAATGGCGATCGGGGTACAGAAGTAATCAGTTCCCCATGCTGCGATTTGACGGCTGCCGCTTCATTTCCCCATATTCATCATGATAACCGTCGTTTAGTCTTTTCATTAGACACGTGTTTAGCTTAAATGCTCCTAGTGACGTGTCGCTCTCTGATTGGTTCTTGACACGGCGGTTTCAAGGCTATAAATTAGCCTTTAACTTCTCAATTCCGGGTTTCGATTCTGCAATTCTCTGCGCCTTGTTGATTTTCCTGCAATTCTCTCCCAGCTTCCATCGCTCAGGTAACTTCTCAAATCCGGATTCCTTATCTTCATTTCTGGCTCGACCGAGATGAGCCCCAAACAGCATTCCTCTGATTCGGAGATGGCCTCCCATGGAGATGACCGTGACGCCGCCATTGTGGACGTCATCACAGTCCCGTTTGCCGGTGGTTCTACTGAAACGGCGACGAATACCAGGGCTGAGGCGGAGGACCTTCCTAGCACTTCTTCTTCCTCCAGTGAAGATTCCGACGACACCAAATCCGAGGATGAAATAGCCTCCATGGCGGCCGGACGTCCCAACGATTTTCCTCGCCATACCCTTGACCTAAAATTGATTAGGGAGAGGCGGCAAAAACTGACCTCCCATAATAGGGCCGAAATTCCGGCCCTTATCCCTGACCCGGTGGATTTCCGTTTGCAAGCTGGGCTTCACCCAATGCGTCATAGGCCCGGAATGACCATAGTTCATTTTGACTCAATTAGGGCCGGCCTTAGGTTTCCGCTACACCCTTTTTACATTTCATTTTTAAATTTCTACGAAATTGTACCGGCCCAAATTATGCCGAACTCCTATCGGGCAATGGCGGGTTTTATTTGCCGTTGTAAAGATGCCGGCGCCCGACCAACCCTAGATCTCTTCCACCAATTTTTCAAGGTAGCCCCCCAACAAACCCACGGCTATCTGGCCACTAGTGCCCGAACGGGACACATCCTGTTCAAGGGAAACCCAACTTCAATCAAAGGGTGGAAAGACCGGTTTTTCTTCGTGTCTGTCCCGGACGGCCTAATTCCCCGCAAATGGAATGCCTTCCCCCGCAAGACTCCTGATCCTGTCCTCACTGAAGAAATTTACAAGGACGTGCTTGCTGTGGAGAAGGATAAATGCATGGACATCATGAGTTATCTGACTCCCGAACGACTTATTACAGCCGGGATAGGTACTGCCCGTTCTCTTGGGTTTACTTGTTTTGAGAAACCAAGTGCCATGGTCCGGGCGGTCCTTCCCGTGCGAGAAACGTTCTTTTGTTCTTTTTTCTAGTTTCTCACACGCTAAGGCCGCTCGATACTAACATTGTCCTTTGTCTTTTTTCAGCACCAAACCCAGATCTACCTATGGATGATAGCAGAGTTATCGCAGCCGGTGGGGCCGGTAAACGGAAAAAATCCAGGAAGAACCCCCAACCTACTCCCTCCATTATTCCTGCTCAGGATGCAGCCTCTTCTCAACCGCTTCCAGAGCCACAGCCAATACAGCAGGTCCATCAGGACCAATTCGAGGCCATGCTGGTCGACGATCAGTTCGGCTCTGACCAACTGCATCAGTTCTCTCAGCACTTTGACTCCGTTCGGGGGGAACCCTCGAATGCAGGTGAGACCCATACCGACCATATTACTAGTCAGGTCGAGCGGATCTCCTTATCTGATCCTGTCCACAAGGTATTAGAAAGGGCTGGTTCTACCGCGAGCCAGATCTGGTCAACCTCCTCATGGTTCAACAATTTTTCCCTTCCTCAATTGCCGGTCGAGCAATCTGAAGAATGCCTGGCCTTGACCGCTCTGAAGGTACATTATTTTTTGCGCCCTGTTTTTATTTTATTCTCTGTAATCAGTACTAACTCTCGAACGGTGCTCTGTAGATGGGTTTGTACACCCTTCAAATGCGGGAAGCCCGTCTGGCCAAGGAACGGGAACTGATTGTTGCTCAATCTTCTGCTGAGCAAAATGCTGCCGCCGCCATCACCTCTCTGGAGGCCGAACGGAAGGCCTTTGCGGAGGAGAAACAGAGGCTGGATGCTGAACTCGGTACCCTTCGGGTCCAACTTGCAGCTTCCCAGGCTAAGGTCCTTGCCGCTGAGGCCGCTCAGGTCAAGTTTGAAGAAATGCCATCCAGCATCTCGGACGGTCCCTATGAAGTGAACGTGGACCTGTCCGCCGTCCGGGAGACATTCAAATCCTCTGATGAATTCTCCATCATCAAGGATGATCACGCGAGGACCCAAATCCCGTTCGCCTTTGGGGCGTACTTGAAGGGTTTCCCCAAAGGTGCTGGTCGGCTATCGGCAGGGGTGGCCCTCTTGGACAAGGATCCCGAGGCCAAAAAATGGAACGACTCCATTGTTACAGACCTTTATGGCAAAATTGGCCAGGTCCTGCTGCGTCCCTTCGTTGCTCAGCTTCAAAATAATCTGGGAAGGCCGGTTCAGGCTTCTGATCTTCCCAAAGATGACATTATACAGGCTCAGTTCGAGAAATTTCTGCGAGCTCAGCAACGGGAAGCTGATCGGGCTGCTGGGAGAGAGCCTGAACCCCCGTCCGATGATGATGAGGACGAGGACGAAGAGGGAGATGAAATGGCCCCCTGGCCAATAATCTATATGTA